AAGCGAACGGAGACCTATCGTGACTGCGTTACCGCGGACTCGTGATTCCGTCTAAAACAATAAGCGATATAACTCAAGACCCGATTCTAGAATCTCTACGGGCGAAAGCACATTCTTCACCAGTGAGAGCGAGATATGGAAATCGGTCTCATTCTTCATCTGCTACGTGTTTCAATATTTCCTTGGTCTTATAGTTGCAAAATCTTTCAACTAGATTCACTCTCACGTTTTCAAACTGTATGAGCGTGCTTTACTTTAAAATACCGTGATGTTTTTCATATTAGATACATATGATGAAAAAATATCAATAGGGCTCAAATTATATACAATCCTTCTTCACATACTCTCTTCCATTTCGCAAATAACTCGGATAATTTTATAGCCGAGTTTTATACCGTCATTTATAATCATTTAAATAATGAATTATTGCTTCTTTCTGATTGTAAAGTGAAAGTGCAAATTGTTCAATGAGTTACAAATTGACATTGATTAAAAAATTGTTATGATAAATTATGAAAATAACATCTAAAAAAAAAATAGTAAAAGGGTATGAAATTTTTTTTTCTCAAAATAATCTGCCCATCTGGTGAATGACGTGTAATGGGTCAAATTTTTAATAGGCTATTGTGTAACATATACTACAATTTTCATAACAGACTATGAGAGACTGACATTTTACTCGATCCTAATAACAGTCTGTCAATAAAATACATGAGGTATTTATCCCAAGATGCGCATCTATTTTTCAAAGCTAAAAAAATAGTTAAATTGTTATTATTATAAGCAGCTTAGTAAATTTTAACTGATTCACTACTCTTAAACATTTAATTTCTAACATTCTATTACAATCTATAATTTTTAAATATCAGTTATTTAAAAAAAAAGAATGATTTAGCTGAGTTAAAAGTACCGTAAATCGATGAAATTGGAAAATAATATCCTGCGTAAAAGTAAATAGAAATCACAATTCAAGTGTGAAATGAGTAAATTGAGTAGTAAAGAATACAAGTTACAAACACCTAACTAAAATGTTGTGAAGAAAAAATTTAAGAAGAAGATTGATCGAAGTACGTTAAGAGGTAATAATCAAACGATCTCCATTTCTAAGTCTCCACCAATCTATCGGTTCAATGACTACGAGAATTCTGGATTACGCAAGAGAGAGTTATCAATCAGAAGCAAGAAACTTCACTAGCTAAAAGCGTGCCTAGTCACTATTCCTTGCAGTTTTATATGTGTTGGTAGCAAGGTGGTAGGGATATACATACATATAGAAGAAGAATAATAATCAAGAGGATCACTGACCGCTATTCATTTCTAACTAATAAGTTTCTATGTCAGATCTAGTTTCAAAGCTATTTCAAACCCATCATGAGTCTTGTTATCAAAACGGCTGCTACTTGATTTGCATCTTCATAATACTTAAGTTTAAGTGAGTAGAGAAAATTTTCTTCAAGATTGAAATTATTTAAAAAATTCACTAGAGTTAATATTTGCACTGGTACCTTGTAGAATGAAGCGAGTTGTCAGAAGCAACGGTATATTTTAGCTTTGAGTGATCAAACAGTATATCAGTTAGCACCTCTTACCTAATCCACATATTCAGGAAGCTGGCTCAATAGATTTTAAATGTTTGATATATCAAAAACGAGAAGGTAAACTATTTCAAGTACTTATCGACGAAAAATTCGATTGAAACCAAGACTTGCTATTGGTATCTATCTCTTTCTTACTCGTTGGTGGCTTGTTTGATGCGGCGCCGGCCGTTTGATTTATCATCAAGCTAGAAGCAAAAAAGATTCTGCCGCTTTTCTCGCGCGCCCGCGGCCTGCCGCAGACCATTCATTTTGGACCTATCACGTCCCAAGCACTGCCAGTTATCGTTGCTGACGTAACACGAATACCGAGCCAACAAGACTTCTTCTTTTCACATTCGACTTGATTGGGGTCCAACGAATTTGCTGAATTCCACCATGAAAATGAATTTATTTTTATTGAAAAAAAAAATACTTTATGTCCTATAGAAATTGGAGTTCTTTTTCTGTGGCAGATGATGAGAACATGATACAAAATTAAATAATGACATTATAAAACAAAAATAAAATAATTGACTTTATTTTCAACATTACTGCTAATTGATGTCTTTAAATTCAACTCGATAATAATGAGTTATTATAATCGTTTGATTATTTCCAAGTACTTTGGAAAAAAAAGTTTAATTTCATATCATGACATAGTGTAATTTTACATTAGTAATTTTGCCAAAAACGAAAGAAATTAAATGTACATACACTTAATCATCATAAGTTATATTTTTTCTCTTAAAATTCTGTATTAGATATCCCTAGAAATTACATGGACAACTGAAAATAACTGAAAATTCGTGAGCCACGCAGAGCCGCTGGGCATCACGCAACCGTTTGTCCCGTCAGATATATACACGAGAAGGAAGCAATGAAATTAGCAAAGATGAGTAAGAAAGAGAAGCAACAGCAGTCAGAGAAAGCCAGCAAATACAACGTCCGGATTCAAACAGCCGGTGGAATGCAGCACGGCGGCTGCAGTATTGCCAACCGTGGCTCATTTCATCCTTAGGCGCCCTTGCCCCTTTCATCTCCACCATCTTCACGTTTCTCCATGTTACACTCTCGACTGTCAGTACCTAAGAATTTTTTTACAACCCCAACATTAGTTCCATCAGACAGAACGCATGCCAAGTATTTCTGTCACTATTACATGTAGACACCAACTTGTTTGATCCATAATTATGAACGACTGTCGTGTGCAATCAACCACTAGCTCCTCAAGTAAGCAATCCTCAAGTACAACGTATACCTCATTCGCGGGACCGTTGGGTGTTGTCAACCGTATTACAGGCAAGAAAATACTAGACATGCCAAGGTTTTTCTCCCCTGAACGATTATTTTACCAAGCGTGACTCTATTTCATTCAATGCACTCGAATCACGTGTAAACCAGTACATTCTCTATAGCTTTTCAAACTTTATATACAATTAACGTAATTGTCACTCGTTCGTCGCGTGAACTTTTCCAATTAACAAGCGTCAATAGCGATAGACTCACAGGGACAGTGACCTTGCCTTAACAAAAGTCATTCAACGATTCACTCAATGACCATATAAACTCTTTTATGCTTAGGCAAATAACTACACGACCATCTTTAATCTGTAGAGTCTACACATCAACTCTTTCTCTCAAGTAACTGTTCTCATTCGTTGAAAAAATAAATGATGTAACTGTTTTATATTCAAAATATTATTTAGTTTTTATTTATGAACTTTATTGATTGTTCATAAATATTTAATCATTTTAAAAAACAAATTTTTATCAACACATTTTCACTTCATCATCAATATTTTTTATTTACTTAATTAATAAAGAGATAGAAAAAGAAAAAAAATATGATTCATGGACATTCGAAAGCTCATTTAATAATTCAATTGTTAAACGTACGAATAAGTGTCTGTGATTTAATAGTTATTTTCGAGGGTTGAAAGCAATTGCGAGAGACAGAAAATTTCTCATTCACTGATGAATCCAATAAGCATTAACACATGGGGTGTGAAATGATTCAACCGTTGCATTAGCCTTCACCACCATGAGGAGACCCGTTAAGTGGTCCCCTATGGTGCAGTCTACCCCCTGTCAAGAGTGAGGTACTTTTCGCCTCTATGCTTACCGGTCCTATGCCGTAGGGGTTTCGCATAGTCGCCGTCTCTTATTTTCTATCTTCTCTACATATAAAAGGTTCCGAAGCTAATTATGTATGTGAAAGTGTGTTAGCGTGTCTGTATTAATTGTTTCTATAACAACATACATCTTGAGTTGAAATCAAAAAATTTTATTCGCAGCTAATATTTTATTTGAGATAAATGATGTGTTATTAAGATCTGTTGGTTCCTCATTTTAAATTTATGATTTTTTCTTTATTATTTGACTTTGACACAATTTTTTAAATATTAAATAATTATATTTTGTCGAAATTAGTAAATGAAAAAACGTTTTTCTTATTTAGTTAATAATAAAATACTTTATATGGTCTTGAAAAATATTTAATCATTAGAAAAATGAAGTTAATAATATAAAATTATACCTTAATAAAACTAATAAGATATAATTATTATGTATATAATGTTATTTAGGTAGCAGCAATTAAGTTTATATAATTAAAATTTATACAATTAAAGTTTTTGCAATTTTTTCATCATACGTTTCTATCCTCAAGATGATAATCGTAATTTTTTCTCATTGTGACATATCCTGTGGTAGACTTCATATATATTAATGAATAAAAAAGGAAAAATTCGAATTGTTAGCCAAGTAATGACTGACATTTTGCAACGATAATGAATGGAATATACTTTATACGTGACACTCAATATAAGGTGTCTCTTTATCAATCTTTTGTTGGCTTGTAAACGTAAAACCGGAACCATACCCGACGAGAAAGGAAATGACAAAGGGAACGACAGTTAAATAGACAGAAAACGTCTATGTGATAATCCCGTTACGGAGTGAAGAAGCTTGAACCTATTGTCGAAGACGTGCGACTCATTTGAAGAAATATCTTCGTGTTTCCGTTGAAATGTCATTACGAGACTCATCTACTTCTTTGGCAGTTTCAGGAGATTTGACAAAAGCTGACTTCTCTTGACACTCACGACACAGTGAACTGAATGATGATAGAGACATGCTTTCAATAGAATTTTAAAGATAGAGAAAATTGCAGAAAACGTGGTCTGAAAGTTATGTGATAGAGAACCTTTGGCGAGGAGACCTCGAAGAGCCACTGTAACGAACAGCAAAGTGTACCGGTCTTGTTTTTATAAGCTCACCAAGACGATGAGACCAGGTAGTGCAGTGGGAGAAATCAAGACGCTGAGGAGTGAAGGAGAAGGGTACGCGAGGCGACTGAGCGGGGGCCTGGTAGCGGGGCCCGGCGCACTCTAGACGATCGTCGAACCAGTCCTCGAAGCACCGCGGATCTTGCATGATCCCCGCTTGACATTCCTTCGAGCTCCCGTCCGTGACTTAGCTTCGTTATTATATTATAATTCAGTTATTTAGTTAAGTATACAATAGTGAATGCATCTTTCCTCTGGATATTAATATACATTTGTGCTGTGAAATGGATATGACCTTATCCTGGATATAAAGTGTATTTTGAATGCAGTGAAAAGTGATGTAGAAAAGATAAAATAAAAAAAAAAGAAGGAGTGATGATGCTTGTGCGAGAATACCGATGATGATGATCTAGATGGGATTCGTCCCAATTGTAAATGTTTTACGATACCTGTTGGTAAAATAAGAACCGCAGGTTTTGATAAAGATGCAGGGGAATCCTGCTTTTCTTGCAATATTACTTGGTACGATATTTGGCTCGCTCGGAGCGTCTCTCAGCAAAGCGCTGAGGTACAAAGCCCCGGATGAGTGCAGGTGGGTTGCGACCGGCGACGGTGAAGATGATGTTTCGCTTGTATGCCGTTTAAGGACTATTAATAGCGAGCTAGAAAATACTAATTTCAGTGTTATTCAACCTCAACATACTGTACGATTGAGGCTTGAATGTAGTGATGCTCTTTTTTATCAAAGTTCATTGAGCGCTGGAAGCTTTCGACCATTAGTTGAGCTTAAAGAGCTTGTTATTGAATATTGTAAGATTGGTAATCTATCGGACGATGCATTTAAAGGACTTAAAGAGTTGCGAAATCTTACTGTTCGCACTCATAACACTGACTGGTCGGCAATGGCATTAGACGTATCTATGAGAGCTTTCACAGAAGAACTTTCAAAGCTTGAGAGGCTGGACCTCGGTGAGAATAATATGTGGAGTTTACCAGAGGGTAGTCTATGTTCATTGCGCAATTTAGAGGTACTCAACCTAACAAGAAATCGTTTGAGAGAAGTTTCAAGTTTTCACTTTAACATGGGAACAGGACGTTGTGTTGGAAACCTACGCGAATTAGATCTCAGTAATAATAGCATTGAAAGCTTACCAACAGCCGCATTCTCTGGTTTAACAAGACTACAACACTTAAATCTTCGTAGTAACGCTATTGGTTTTATGGCTGATCGATCTTTTGAGGGTTTAACTTCTTTGTCAGTACTTAAGCTCTCAGACAATCGACTGTCAAGTTTGCCTCCAGAGCTGTTTAATGAAGCAAGAAATATCAAAGAGATTTATCTAAGAAATAATTCGCTAAATGTTTTACCACCAGGATTATTCAATGACCTTACTCAATTATTAGTGTTGGATTTATCAAAAAATGAGTTAACAACAGAGTGGGTGAATGCTGCAACATTCTCTGGACTTATTAGATTGGTTGTATTAGATTTGTCAAGTAATAGAATAGGAAGACTGGAACCGGCTGTATTTCGAGATCTTTATAGTTTACAAATTTTAAGACTTCAAGAGAATTTTATAGAAAGTCTACCAGAGAATACATTCTCGGCGCTATACAATTTGCACACTCTTGTTCTGAGCGATAATCAGTTGACTGTTATCGAAGCGACCACTCTGAGCGGTTTGTACGTGCTGAGCCTGCTCTCGCTGGATAATAACAGGCTCAACGCGCTTCATCCAAGCTCGTTACGAAACGCCTCGTCTCTCCAGGACTTGCACCTTAACGGTAACCGGCTGACGGCCGTGCCGGATGCCCTCAAAGCCACGCCTCTGTTGCGCACCCTCGATCTTGGCGAGAACCTCATTTCGGAGATACCTACTGGTACTTTCGACCACGTGTCACAGTTGTATGGCCTCAGACTCACCGAAAATCACATTGGCAATTTGACCAAAGGCATCTTCGAGAAGATCAAGGAACTCAAAATACTCAATCTGTCGCGTAATAGGATACAGTCCATTGAACCTGGGACATTTGATGACAACACTAATCTTCAAGCTATTCGTTTGGATGGTAATCAATTAATTGACATCGCTGGATTGTTTGCCAATCTTCCTAATTTAGTGTGGTTAAATGTTAGTGACAATAGACTTAAATGGTTCGATTATGCAATGATTCCCACTGGATTACAGTGGTTAGATATACATTCTAACGAGATAAGCGAACTGGGTAATTACTTTGAGATAGAAACGCAGCTTCAGCTCAGCACCTTTGATGCCAGTCAGAACAAATTGACCGAGATAACGGGAAATGCAATACCAATGAGCGTCAAAGTGCTATTTCTTAACGATAATCTCATCTCTAAAGTTCAAAGTTATGCATTTTTCAAGAAACCAAACTTGACTCATGTTGATCTTAAAGGCAATAAAATACAAAACTTGGAAACTTATGCTTTAAGAATAAGTGCTGTACCGGCAGACAAACCACTTCCGGAATTCTACATAGGAGACAATCATTATCTGTGCGATTGTACAATGGAATGGTTGCAACGTGTCAACAGGCAAAACCAGTCTCGCATTTATCCTCACGTGATGGATCTTGAAAGCATTTACTGTAAACTCCTCTATGATCGTGAACGTGTGTATGTACCACTAGTGGAAGCCTCGCATTCACAATTTCTATGCAAGTATGAGTCACACTGCTTCGCTTTGTGTCACTGTTGCGACTTTGATGCGTGTGATTGTGAGATGACCTGTCCGAGCAACTGCACCTGCTACCACGACCAGTCCTGGTCAGCAAATGTCGTCGATTGCTCTGCCGGCGGTCACGTTAACCGGCTGCCCGAGCAAATACCAATGGACGCCACCAGGCTTTATCTAGATGGCAATGACCTAAGAATCATCTCCAGTCATGCATTTATTGGAAGAAAAAAACTCAAAGTACTTTTTTTAAATGGTTCGAATATTGAAATTGTTCAAAACCGGTCATTCAATGGCCTTCGAGATCTTGAAGATCTCCATCTACAAGACAATAAAATTAAAGAATTACGAGGCTACGAGTTTGAAGGATTAGATAATTTGAAACTTCTTTATCTCCAGGGCAATGAAATCTCGACAATTGCCAACAGAACATTTTCTCCCTTGAGATCTTTAAGAGTTCTTCAGCTTCAAAGCAATCGCCTGACGACCTTGGCGGTTTGGGCCTTGCCATCGTCTATTGAAGTCAGCCTCTCGAGAAATCCCTGGTCGTGTGAGTGCGACTATCTCGAAGTCTATCGCGAATGGATACTCGCGGCAAGGAACAGAGTCGCCGACGTATCCGAGTTGAGATGCGTGTTGAATGTCACAGAGCTCGAAGCGTATGGTGACCAAGTCTTCAGGGACAACGAGTTTGGCTTTGCCGTGCTGGAGGGCAATACAAGTGACAGTACACAGTGCACAGGTCTTACAAGTATCGACAACGGTATCCAGAGCAATCTAACCAAGACTATTATTGAAAGACAAGCACTTCAAGATTATTTGCCTCTACTTATATCAACTCTTGCCGCATTTCTTATTGTCATGCTACTTTGTATGTTAATATTTATCTTCAGACAAGAATTCAGAGTTTGGTTTCACTCAAGATTTGGTGTAAGAATATTTTATAGAAATACTGAATTTGATCGTGATGATCGTGATAAATTATTCGATGCTTTTGTCAGCTATAGTTCAAAGGATGAAGCATTTGTGGTTGAAGAATTAGCACCAGTTCTAGAAATGGGTAATCCATCGTATAAACTTTGTCTGCATTATCGAGACTTTCCAGTTGGAAGTTTTATCGCAGACACGATAGTTCAAGCAGTGGAATCATCAAGAAGAACCATCATGGTACTCTCAGAGAATTTTATCAAGTCTGAATGGTGTCGGTTTGACTTTAAATCAGCACATCATCAAGTATTACGTGACAGAAGACGTAGACTTATTCTAGTTCTCGTTGGAGATGTACCTCAAAGAGATCTTGATCCTGACATCAGACTTTATTTAAAGACTAACACATACTTGCAGTGGGGTGATAAACTATTCTGGGAAAAATTGAGATTTGCTCTACCTGATGTGCCGAACAATCAAAGGACAAGCAATCATCGACGACAACCACCGCCAGTCCGACGGCAACATAACAATCAAACAAGTGGACCACGAAGTGTTGCGGTTCACATATAAATTAATTACCTGGCGGGGATTATTTGACGAAAGACTTGAACTCAATTTATATTCCTAGAGTGTAGAATTATCATGCATTTGATAATTTAATCATTCAAACAGTGAGTGATATCAACAATGTGTGTGTGTGTCAATTCAAATTAATAAATATATATATATGAAATACACACATATATAAATGTATGTATGCTATCCACTTGTGTTTAAGTGCACAATGCAGTGCAATAAATATGTGAAGTGTAAATATTTGTAATGTCAAGAGAATTGATAATTATTAATGGATAATTAAAACATTTTGAATGGAATGTGCGTGGCACTCAAAAGTTTGTAAATAACTCAAATTAACTATGCGTGAATGTGAACAAAAAAGTTAGAATGCAATAAAAAAATAATATAGAACGTGCCAACATTAATATTATGTGAACATCAATCTATGATGTGATTCACGATAAAGTCAAGTGATTAGTAAATTAGATAGACTCAATGAAATGTAAATATACGTTGAAATTCATTCTATTTCTATGATACTTTATATTAAATGTGTGAGAGAGAGTTAAGGGGTAGTTTCTATCTCTTGTCCATACAATTTCCATACTCTAATTACTATAATCTCAAATTGGGCATGAGCTACTTAACAGCCTAGTTTTACGATTAAATCGTATATTTGTGGTAATAATGCTCATGGCCATAATACATGAAACATTTTAAATACATCGTTATAATATGATAAAGACAAAGTCTCTTATCTTAAATGTTTTTCTAAACCAGTGACTGTGACAATTATATTATATTCCTTTGAGAATGAAAAAAAAAATATTATTTTATAAATATAAATAAAAAAGAAATATAAATTTTTCAAAATTTTATCAAGACGTACTTATTAAAATATATAAAATACAATTAATATTTGTGAATATGTAGCTTTTTAAACGGATGTAATGTACATCTGTAGTGATATCATTTTATACTTTTTTGTAGTACGTCAATTTGTAATTAAATTTAACACAATATTTTTAAAAAATTATTGAATTGAAATTATGTAAAGTAGCATTTATTTTTTTATTTATTTTACTATAAATGGTAACTATTGAGACTTTGTATAAAACAAAATTTCGTGATACTGTTATCAAAAGTATTTTCCCAATTAAAACTACAATTTAGTTTAAAATAATTATTTATATATTAACAATAATAAAACATCAATCAAGTCTATTAGTAAATGTTAAAAAATATCAATAAAGTATTGCAATTTTAACTAATTATCTTTTTAATTCATTTAAATAATATCCAAGATAATTTTGTTTTTAACAAGGTCTCTCATTGAATTCAATAATCCCTTGGCAATGTAGTATTTTTCTGAACGATTGTATGAAAAATAATAAATGTATGTGAGTGTATATATTTGATTGTGGGATTGTTGCATTCAAATGTAATTAATCATTTTTTTTAAAAAAAAAAGCAGATATAAAAAATAAAATATAATCTATCTCTTTATCGGAAAAATTCATCATCAACTATGTTTCTAAAACTTTTCGAATATATATACGTTGAAAGAGATTATTGAAATATAAATTATGACTGAGAAATAAAGTTTTCTGTTTATATGTTTTTAAATAATTTTTTTTATTTTTAATCAACTCACCATTATCCCTTATGTATACTGCTAATAACATCAAACAATCACAAGAATAATAAGTGCATCAAAGAAATATCAAAAGAGAAAATGAAAGCTAAAAAATTAAATATATAATAGGAACAACGTCTGACATGTTTGCTTTCTATTGTGTTTCGATTTCTGATGATTATCGAGGATACGATAAAAGCCATCTTATCGACTTGCCATCAGAAACAAGCTGGCTAATATAATAACTCTATCGGAGAATATTCGGTAAGCGTTTGCAACATCACTCAATCTGTTTGTCGTTATGTAAAAACCTGCGAGCAAGTCACACTAAGACTCCCCACGATCATCGAACAATAGAAAGCTTATTTCTCAGTGTATTCTAGAAGTGTTATTGACACAATAAAGAAGTAAAAGGTCTCCTCCTCTGTCTATTACATTCATTTCTACTTACACAACGAGAAGAACTGTGTCGTGGTCCTTTAGTCATTCTGCGACGTATGTAACTCACACAAAAGAATCAAATTAATGAATAACGAGGTAGCTGTATTCGTTGTCATCATGAGTGACACGTCAACTTCTTAGTATTCGCCATCAACTTTCAAATCATCGCGAATTCAACTAAATTAACCTGATAGACAGCCTGAATTCATGCAATACTTTTTTTCTTTTTATATCAATTTATGTAATTATTTATAATTACAATCATTTGAATATATCACAGTAAAAACTAAACTGTAAAATATTTTTCAACATCAATTTTAATAAAGACTTCAGAAATATTTCGTAAAATTCAATTATTGTCATTAGTTGAGAAAATAAAAATAATTTTAAATAAGGTATTTCAACATATTCTAAATTATAATTAATAGTTTGTATGATAATTGACTGTGGATATTTTTTTCCAATAACAAAAATGAATATTCCATTGAACTGACCAAATATATAATGACTTATTAATGAAAACTAAAATGTGTCTTATAATTAACATAAATTGTTTTCTCAAATTGAAAATAATCTCTCTATTTTCACCGAGTATATATAACAACAACCATTAGAATGTTTAGTGAACCTTTGTAAAAGCTTTCACAGGATTTAGAACAAAATGTTTCTCCAGGATGTCTCTCTTGTTTTTAACGGTTGATCAATCCCTGATTCCCGTCCAGCCTTCAGGGATAAGTAAGTGGGATTACCGTCAACCGGGAAAGGTTCTCAAAAGATTAACTCTGCGCAAACGAGCTTGCAAGCTTCATGAGCTTAAACGCCGGACAGTATAAAAAGTATACAGCGGAAGCAGAAACGTTCTGGGAAATTTATTATTCTGTCATGGATATTTGTTCCTTATGATGTGATGTATTTTATTATACACCTTTTTTATTGTATCATTATGTACACTGTTAAGGCGTATTTAACAGAGCATGCAAAGTTGCTTTTGCAATCATGTGTACCATAATCTGTGATCTACACTTTAAATATTACTCCCTCACTTACAAGTAGTGACTAGTCCGCACCTATGTTAAGTTCATACCTGTCAACAGCTGATTTAACGTCTCTTTGTATCACGAATCACGCATTCGGCGACATTAACGAAGTGGACAACTCGTTCGCACTTGATCATTATCGATCAACTGTGATAATTCATAAAGAAAAAAATCTCGTGGAATTTGATCAATGCAATATACCGTAATGAAACAAAGAAATTGCTGGGGGGAAAAGCTATTAGACGTAATATAGGAACTTAATAATTTATAAATTAATGTATATAAATAAAGATAGATAAAACATGATAATTTTTTCCTTCATTATGTTCATATGTACATAATGTAAAGGTTAAGATTGTTGTATGTACTTTAACAAATAATAGTTATTTCTAATGTTTAAATCATGACTAGTGCAAGAATTAAAGTGGTATATTTACGCTTGAATGTTTCGTTATCAACACAAAACATCAAATGTAAATGTTATCGATTGACCAGGACAAACAAACGATGCGAAACCAATAAATTTAATTTACTAGTTTAGTATACAATTCCAGTAACAATTACATGTGACAATTCATAGAATACATTATAAATACAGTATACTACTAGAGCAGCTTTTATATCATTTGCAATTTAATTTTAAAAACTCTCCAGTTTTTATTATTATATGACAAAATGTACAAAAGGAGAGAAAAAAATGTATATACACGAAAGATTAATTTTTTTTCTGTGTCTCTTTGAAAAAATAACAAAAATAAAAAGTATAAAAATAAATAAAAAGAAAATAAGACTACAAACAAACGGATCTGAAGTTATGAGTAATGGATTCACGCGTTCTCCATGGGCGGTTATATTTCTTTTACCGTTATAAACTGAAAGACTCCAAATGCTTACTGACCATCTCTTTCTTTCGTATCTTTCCTCGTTTTTACTCCTCTTGATGTTTGCACTCTTTTTATTTTACTCAAGTCAACGCATTTCTTTTTCCTTTCTCGTTTTTATTCCAAGCCATTTTATACAATCAAGCCAAAAAATCCACAGACATTGGGTGCGAGTTGCGACCTTTTAGATGTCATCGGTGACGTACAAGAGTCAGACATATTCAAGGGACTTGGTGTGGGCGTTGATACGTGTGGGTTGTTTCATCTCTGCTTCCTCTTAGTCGGAACAATAGCAAGATTTGTAGTTCTACTCTGCTAAAAGTCACAGTCAGCTTTGTAAATGCATAATGTACATCTTAGTTTAAAGTGTAAAAAAAAATCTATATGACATTCATACATTTTTTACTGCCATCAAAGTACTAGAGTATACAAATGATGATAGAGAAAAAGATGAAAGTAATAATTCATAATACAACAATTTTTTTTTTCTCAGTTTCTTTTCTATATGTTACAAATTTATTTAAAACGAGGTCTCACGTGTTATATTATCTCAAGGTTCCACCGCATGCGGTGGGAAAGTCCTTGCGTGAGTTCTGACTATTTTCACCTAATTCCATTCCACGATGCAATTGCATTGTTCCATAAATTAAAAATAAATTTTCTACCTCAGGTACTAAAAGATTGCATCACCATAATTACTGTAATTAGTAAATATCAATGGTTAAATTGTACATCAAACAAAAATAATATCAAAAGCTAAATATTTTAGTAACTTCATCGAATATTATTACTCAATTCTTGGAATACCAAACAAAACGTCATTCTACTGGTTTTAAAAACTGCCAGAAGGCAATTTTAATATGTAGTCTGGTACAAACCACAAGGGACCTACATAATCTATATATTCTTCGTCATCATGCATATGGATGAATTTTCTTTGTCCCAGATATATACAAGTCTGTACTGATCATTACCGTATATCTCGATAAGTAATCACCACTCAAGCATCGATATTTCTTCATTGTAATTGCAATGGCGATTATCGAACACTGATGTATGAACGTAAGCTTGAGATTTACTTTGGAGTATTCGTCACGCCACCATAATACCATCAGAATATTGTCCAAGTCTCAATTTTGCCCCAAGTCTGCATCGTGTCAAGTCTAAAGCATCAGATACACAGATGTACCCTTTAGATACATAAGCACACACACACACATATATAGCAATGACGGTGATGTATAATCTTCCGGGTATTTGGACTGGTCACTGTGGTTTATCTCGTTAAATCATACGAGAGCTATGATTTTGCTCATGAGGGGAGAACCAAGACAGTCAATGGCTGACGGAATCTCATGAGATATAGGCATTCTCTTGTGTTGTAGT